GTAAGCTAATTTATCCATAGTGTATATGTGTGAATGAGAGTGTGTGGGTGTTTCCCAGTGATGGGATGAGGTTGGAAGGTTTAATGAATAGTTTGTCCAGCACTGGAGCCTCTTTTGTCTGAATTTTTCACATTGTGTAGCAGCTTGTTCTGCATTGAATAAAAGCTCCAGGCAGATACCTGCCAAAGCCATCTACACTACTTTGTCCCTGCTGTCCTGGCTACATGTAGGCAGCCTGTCTCTACTCGCCAGAGCAGAACACAGCCATGAGCAGATGTGAAACCACACTCAGGATAATTCATTTTTGCCTAAGTCCTTGATAAGGTCTCCTAGATGCATGCCATTTACATACTGTTGTAGTATTTACTGGGTCATTCAATGGAGATTCAATAAAGTATCTGCTATAAAGTATCTGCTATTTTGAAAGATTGTAAAGCTAAAGTCATCATAACAACATTTATCTTATATAAAAATTAAATACATGTCTCTGGTTTCTAGAGGTGCATAACACCTCAGTTGATGTTTTTTCTATCTTATTTTTTTATTTTATTTTACTATTTGGTAACACTTTCTATGAAGCGTTTATACTTATTCATAATCAATCATAACACTATAAATGTATCTAAAGACACAACAAATATAATACTGTATTATAAAGAAAGTTATAGCTACATTTATACTATTGTTATAAATAGTTAATAGCGATGCATTTCATTTTTCAGTTTTCATAACACATTGTACAGGATTTATAAGTGTTAGTGATTATTGTATTTATAAATATGCATATATAATCAATCATAGCAATTCTATAAATGGTCTGTCATGACTCATGTTTTTTTTTTCTTTCTTTCTTTATTATTTACATTTAAAACACTTGGTTACGATTAGGGTGACATGATGGCTCGGTTGTTAGCCTTGTTGCCTCACAGCAAGAAGGTTGCTGGTTCAAGTCGCAGCTGGGTCAGTTGGCATTTCTGTGTGGAGTTTGTTCTCCCTGTATTCAAGTGGGTTTCAGTTTAAGATCAGTTAAATTTGCTATAAAGCATTTGTAAATCCATAATAAGCACATCCTTTATATGGAAAATGTGAAGTAAAATGTGTTTAAAAGCCAACAATGATGCATTTATAAAGGTTAGCAACTGTATTTTGACGAATATTAAGTATTTATAAGGCACCAACAAAATAAAACCATTCATTTATTTGACAGAACAAAATATGTTACCTACTAATGAGTCTTTGTAACTATAACATAACAACATCTTAGCATTGCAAACCGCATCTTTACTGACTAATTAATGCTTATAAATCATGTATAATGTGTTATGAATGTGCATTGAAGAAAAAATGAATGCATCACTTGTATTATAAATGTAGATAAAACTGTCATAATGTCAACATAGGCTCATTCTGAAAACGTAGTCCTATATACATTTCTGGACACCGCAAGTTATATTGCCAGTGGTACATATGGCTGCATTTCATTTTTCAAACGACGGACGGGGCTCAAATCAGCGACCTTCTTGCTGTGATGCAATTGTGCTACTTACCTCGCCACTGTGCTGCCTAATAAAATACAATTAATGGGAAATTTAATAAGAAATCTAAATAATTTGTGTGGTTAATCAGCTATACTAATAGAGAAGACTCCAGATCCAGATCTGTTTTTACATTACTGTGACGGTTGGGTTAAGGGTTGGGGTATGGGTAGTTGTTAATAAAATACAATTCATGGGAAATGTAATAAGTAATATAAATAATTATAAATAATCTGTAGCTGATTAACCATGTGGATGTATGATAACAGCCTTCTGAACCTACCAGTAGGCGCAGAAGGCCCCTACTGGCCCATATCAGCTGGTAACCACTGATAATGCCCATTCAATCGAGTGATACATTAGAATTGGCCGACACAATTTGGTATATTTTCTCCTAAAAGGAATGCTTCTTTGTTTTTAACAAAACTTGGCAATGCTGTTTTATACTTACTGATGAATGTGCTGTCATTTGTTCCTGGAATATTATGAAAATATAGAAAAAAAATTAACAGTGGAAAGGTAACCTATATCTCAAAATATCTGGACAATAATTACCAATCAACATTGTATATCCAGAAAAAAATAAATATATAAAAAAATTATAATAAAAAGTTTCAGCTCATTATAGCCCACACAAAACGTTTTATAACTCTTTAAAACTGCTCCTTTTAGGTTTTGATCCTAATTGTGCCATTTGGTGACTGTCACTTTAAATTCAAAAGAGAGCAGAGCTTCAATATGTGTCGGCATAGAGTCATATTCAAAAAAACAAGACTAGTCCTATGCTAATGAGGGAGAGATTGTCATTAATGGGCTGGGCTTTCCCACGCTGATGACACATACACAGACATAATGTTAAACAAAGTGTTTTCTACAGTCCTCTTTAATTCTAATATTTTAACCATTATATTAAACCCAAATAATGAACATAATAAAAATGGCCCAGCGAAAATGATCATTTGAAATGTAAAGAAATTTTGCCCCATTTTGATTATTGTTTTTTGGAATGTTGACACAACGATCATTATTGGCATATTATTGAATTAAATAAAATCTTAAGTATTAAGTAAACATGGAAAATTTACTGAGAATGAACTGTAGTGTTGATTATTTGCACATTCTTTATCACAACACACACCCAGAAATGTGTTTTGCTTGCATGGCAATTCCCAATGAGGCAGGCCAGTTCTAGGTAATGTAAATTTGCACAGAACTTCCACAGTCTAAAAGAATCACACTCTAATGCAACCATGCACCTAACTAGGATCTGTTAGATACCTTAGGTGTATATAACTTTAAGTGGATAAAACTTTCTTATTCAAACTAGAAGAAGCATTGCATAATAAAACACCTGTTATTCAACAGTTGCCCATGCTTTACTATTTATGGATATTTTCTCTGATACCTTTTGATGTTGAAAATGTAAGCCTTTTTTAATGATACATTATCTGATTTATAATGTAAATTATGATACAAAAGGTATATAGTTGTAGCTGCCAGCCCTTTTCCATTTTTTCTGTTACTATACAGATTTGTTTTCAAAACAATAAATTGTTTCTAACTACTAAAAATGTCAGTGATATAAGTAATTTTGTTAAACTGCACTGCATTGTTACATTTTTACCATCAGAAGTTGTCAGAGAAGATATAAAGATCCCATAATGTAATTTAAAAGCATAAATACATGAAAAACACCCATGATACATGGTCTGTGGGTAACTGTTAATTATCAAACTTGTGTTCTGAATAATGTACTGCTGTAGAAACTACAAACTAAAATAAGCCAAATTATCATTAAAAAACAGCATGTTTTCACTTAAAATATAATAATGATAATTATATTCATCATCAACTGCACTGATTAGTGAATTCACGCCTTAAGCCCTGGTCAGATCACATGATTCGTTGTTGTAGAGTGTCGTCGGGAGTCATAAACAACAAATGGCCGTCGTGACACAAGATTCAATCGTTTCTTCTCATGTAATGTGGCATAGTTCGCAACAACCAATACCTTTTCTGTGATGCTTTATGACACCTATGCAGAAGGTCTTGCATGTTTAATTTTTTCCCCAATCTTCACAACGAGTTCTGTAAAGTGGGTGAAAGTAGACAATAGAAGCACATCTTTATTAGTTATCTCCGCAGGTGCTGCCATTAATCTGTGGGCCAGGCAAACACAAAATAGGCTGCATTTTTACTTATGGGTAGGTCTCGGGTGGATAAGATCAGTCATTGGTTATGCAAACTTTAACTACTTTTTCTAAAATATTAAAGTGTTTTAAGTAATTTTATTTGACAGACTGGCACAAATATGCAGACAACTCCATTCTCACAATGAGCCTTATGACCGAGTTAATTTTTCCGAGGTAATCTGGAAACAAGTTCAGTGCAGCTATTACTTTGTAAAAGCCTGTCTTGGTTATTCAAATTACCTGATTAAACGAATTAAATTGAAACACAACGGATGACTTTGTCATTAAAAATGAAAACAGTTTAATATAAGTTTACACAAAATTCAATATTTCATTTTAATTTTATTTAGGCTAGGTGTTGTTTTATTTACCAAACCAGTTTGTGCTTTGGTGCTGAAGCATAGCAGACTTGTTTTGCAGCACTTCACCTTAAATGTTATTTGTCATTTTTGCTCATCTAGTTTAAAATTGGACCAACAAATGTTTCCAAGAATTTATTTTTTTTGTTTGAGCCTGTCCACTATTCAACTGCACGGGTGAATCATTTGCTTCGCTCTGTGGAAACTCAGGATTTAATTAATGCTTCACTGTAATTGTTTTATCACAAACCTCTGTAATATATTGGCTAAATTTATTTATTTATTTTTATTTTCATTTATAATTTATAATTTTAATGTCTTTTTAATATGTCTCGATCATCTGATTTTTCATGGTGCTGATGTGCTTTAATTTTCTCCGTTTCACTCTTTGCAAGTTCAGGCGAGGGAGTGTTCAATAAGCAACACATGGCAGGAAAATATACATTAAGATTTAAAAGAAAATACCTTAATATTAAAAAGGAAATATATGTTTGACCCTATCAATGTCATAATGAATGCCCCTTAAATAATGTAGCCTAGTTGGCAGCAAGCATGAGTGTTTATTGAGATTAATATAAGATAAAGAAAACATTGAAATTAGTCATATAAAAAATATTGTTATAATACTTGTGACTGCTTTGGAAAATAACACTCATCACAGATGTAGTCTGGCATTTGTTACCCAAGACAAGTCAAGATTTTATCAAGACAAAATTGTATAATCTGACACAGTGAATTTCGTAACCAACAATAAAAAAATCATGTGATCTGACCGGGGCTTTAGTCTTATTTTCCTCCTAATTTGAAATCAGTTTCAGACAGTTGCATATCACTGTTAAACCAGGTAAAGATCTATTTAAAAAAAGAAAGAAACAGAAACAGCCAAAAACATCATGATGTTAAAATTTTGTTTAGCAACTTGATATTGTCACTTATTTAATTTATTCTTAAAACATTTCATAATAAAAAAAGCATTTAATGTAAATGACTCTAAGACTCTCTGAACTGTATCTGGAGGTGTCAAGACTTCGAGGTGAGCACTGTGCAAACAAACACAAGCACAAAAAATCAATCCCCAAAACCCAACAACAAGGCTTTTTCTCTGAACCTTTACGATACAAAAGCTAAAAGCAGTCTCCGTGACTTTGTTTCAGGATTTCTTCCCTTTGTGTTTTGTCCGTTTTTCTCTTTTAACTTTAACTTCTTGTGGTCTTGTTTTTGACTGTGTGTGGTCATGTTTCTAATGCGCCAATAGTTGCTACTTTAATTGGAACATAAAAAATAAGATATGCCTGCAAAGCATTACCCACATTCTAGATCTGTCAGTTTAACAATGTTATTCATGTTAAATAAGGTTCTCTACAAAGATACAACATATAAAACTGTTAAATATATAACTTGTAGGCCTTTGAAAATACATATAATGACATACAATATCTCACTCCTGGTAATCAGAAATGACAGTTTTCATGTTCTTGTTTAATATCTTCTGACGATAAACAATGGGGTACGGTTCCATTTAACCTTCCATGCTGAATGCAAACTGTCCAAAATGTTGCTACTGAAAAATGCTAAACAAATTTGTTGATGTGATTGTGTACAGTATCTATATCCTAGCTGTCCTTGAAATACAGTGGGTAGTTCCTTTCAAGGAAATCTGTAAAATATTAAAGGTTCTCATCAGATTGTGATAAATGGGAATGGTCAACCCAGTCGTTTCAGTGTTCCATGTCAGCATTTTTGCTTGTAGACCGCCGCTGTATAGCAAAGTCTTCATAGATCTATATCTACCTCTCTACATTTAGGTATATATATATTTTTTTTTTTCACCGTCTTAATCGTTTCAAGTCTGTCTCTCAGTCCGTGCTAACATAGTCAATGGATTTTTTTAAATTTCTGTATTATATCATTATTTTTTCCTCTTTGGTCTGTAAAAATGAGTGGCAAAAATGTACTTCAGCAGAAAGCAGTTCAAAAAGCGGCTTGGTTCACAGTCTAGGTCAGAACCGCTGGTGGAGTCCCAAAAAAGCCTATGTTTGGTTCAGTCTCAAACAGGGTAGGTGCCTCAGAGTCGCTCATAAATTCCTCAAGGCTGCTGCTGTCCATGAGGCGCTTTGTGAACATCTAGTATGCTCTCCGTGGCACAAGGGGGTACTGCCCATTTACAAAGCTGAGACGCAGACTGGTAGGCAGAGGCAGGTGTCAAGCCGATGAGACATAGCAAGTATCTACAGCAGGTGGGCAAATCTGCAAGAGGCCTTGTCTGGTAGCGCTCCAGGAACCCCTCCCACTGTTAGGACACCTAAATCATCCAGAAACACACAGAAAGTCAATTCAGAATAACAGCGCAACAGTGATGAAGATGTAGAGATATGAGCACAATAAAGGGAGATTTTATTTAAACACATCTAACAAATTTTGAATGTCATCAGAATTACATTTAGCACACTGGCTGTTACTACAAGTTGTCCTGACTAACAATTTATTGCATATTTCTTTGATACTCCACCCAAAACCTACATGACATCCATGTCATCCCAGAAGTACAGTCTATAATTTCATATATATATATATATATATATATATATATATATATATATATATATATATATATATATATATATATATATATATATATATATATATATATGCTTATTTGCTTGTCTTTCTTATAATTTATGGTTACAGAAAAAAGTTATAGTAAAAAAAAAGTCACACCAATTTTAGACAACATGAGGGTGAGGGAAATCAACTTAAGGTTTATGGATTCAGGTGCTGGTTTCCCCACCTGACCAAGAAGAGTTATATGCTTTACCTGGTCACCTGGCTGATCAGATAACACCCTAACAAGAGAGAAAGAGAGAAAAAGGGGAACAAAAACTTAAAACTTGAAAACCAGTCTGACTGGGAGATCAGGGACCTCATTAACATAGATATGATCCCAGAGTGAATATACACTAAAATCCTTGGCAGTGTTCAAATATGTAAAAAATGGTCTTTTGAGGAATAGTTCACTTACAGAATGAAAATGCAGCCATCATTTACTCACATGTTGGTCTACTTATGAACAAAAAGAAGACATTTTGAAAAATGTATTGTATGGTATTCAAATAATTGATGATCACCAGTCAAACCCATAGTATGGGGAAAATTTATGGAAGTTAAGGGTTCCTCGCAACAGGCTTGGGACTTGTGGAGCTCCGCATCATTAGATTTGCTCTTCAGCGTTTAGACACTTAACACTTAACTGAACTAAACTGAACTTCAATCGACTAGAATTTCTATGTTAAGCTGCTTTAACACAATCTACACTGTAAAAGTGCTACAGAAATAAACAAACAAAAAACAAACCATCAACTGAAAGTGTAGGTCAAAGTTGACCAATCATTCTGGAAGTGAACTGTTCCTATAACACTTTCAGCATATAATAGTGTTTTGAGCCATGTCAAGTTCTTACCCATTTTTTTTCCCCTTGAGTTAATGTAAGAGTATTTGGAAATTTAACCAATTCTTGCTACTCAACATTCTCAATAACAGTATGTTGACTGTTCATTTAATTTGGGGGCATTCATATGTTAATGCATTTCACATCTGTAGGAAAGGTGCATACTGTACACATTTTGTATGTGTGTCTGTACATTCATTCATCTGAATCACATCTATGCATATATGAGAAATGATCTGAGATGAAATATGGGTCATTTTCTACACATTTTATAAATGAGGCCGCAAGTAGCGACCACTTACAGTTAAAAAGATGGAGTTTAACTTAAAACAGTTTAGACAAACAGGTGGTTATAGTTTTCTGGTGCAAGGATAATCCGGTTGAATGTTTGACATAAGTCAAATATATTACAGTGATGTTGAAATTGGCTAATTTTTAAAAACTGTAAAAACTGTTGCTTTCTTCAGCACCTGCCATGGAAAATGCTCAGAAATCCCAGCACCATCTGTTAAACAATATACTGCCAAGTCAGGGGAAAAAAGTGACCAAATGCTGCCAACGTGGCTGGTGCTTCATTTATAATATAGAACTCTTGACATTTGCATGGGAAGCAGATATTCATGGATTTAGCCAGAGCTGGATGAAACATGAATATAAAATAAAAAAGATAATCATGATAAAAATAAACTCAGGAGATGTCAAATGATCCAAAAGTAAAGGGGCTAAAGACAATACTGTGCTATTGATAATCTGCAGCAACTAATACTTACATAAAGTTGCTAACTCAAACTCCCATTACATGATAAGCAAGGCCTACGTGTAGTTTGACATTATAGTTTTAGCCATTATTTTACTATGTGCTCTATCAACAGTTAAGGGTTTGATTGTTTAGCATAGACCAGTTACCCTACAGGCTGGCCAATATGCTTGCATCTTACTTTGTTCATGGAAATCTGATAGTAACCTACAGTAACTGTTGAAATATACTGTAGAAAATGCCTGCTTTTTGAGTCATTTGATGCTCTTGCTAATTTTAAAATCATTTAAGCTGACACATCATGATGCCAAGCTCCAGATAAGATGGCAGACTGCTTAAAAAAAAAAATCCTGATATAACAAGTTAAATATGAATTATCTTTCAAATCATGAATGAATCAAGGACACATTGATTACCATTTTTAAATACATGATTTAGCCAAATACCTTACGGAAAAGCCACAAGCTTTACATTAGCTTTACATATAAAATATGCATGTCATATTTGTGAAAGACATTTAAATACATCAAACATAGACTTTAAATTATTTTGATGTGAAATTCATGTAAAGACATGAAAAAATGTGTTAATCTGCTCACATGGGATCACACAGGATTCAAGGCAATGTCATGTTTACTTGCAGCATCTACTGAGATTTCCACTTGGGTATCAAAGTTGTAAACATATAACTGCATATGCACCTTAAGTGTTATTCTCTGAATTTGCAAAGTCATAATAAATAATGATACCCAGCAAACAACGTTGTGTTTAATAGATGTCTAATAGACATCTAAACGTATTCAACTTGGCTAAAACGAGGCAAAACTTGGGCTGTCAGTGAAAATCTAAGAATAAGCTAATCTAAGAATAGTTAAAAACTAGACTAGTAGTCAAATAGACAAATTATACAGACTTTGAATGTGTTTATTTGATGAATAGTCTAGTTTAGGCTAGTCATATTTTTTGACGTCTTTTAGATTTTCCCTGACAGTCCAAATTTAGCTTTGTTTTAGCCAAGATGAATATGTTTAGACGTTTATTAGACATCTTTAAAAAAAATGCTTGCTGGCTAATCATTTATAACATTTACATACATTTATATAACATTTATACTCAGTACTCAAAGTGCTTTTACACATCAAAATGGAGACATCTCCTCAATCATCTCCACCAACAATGTGCATCATATAACTCTTCATAAAATCTATTTTTAACACGTTAAAGTAAAAACAAACATGTTGAGTATTTCTCCGACACCAAGGTCAGAGGATTGGAAAGTGATAAATATTTGCTAAACCCTTCTATTAGAAGTAATCAAGCTGGTGTAAAGTGAAAGTAGAATATACAGTTTTGGAAATCCATGCAGCGTGTCAAAGGTGTAAATGTATTTCTGTGGACTATGCTTTCCTAGTTGAATTTCTCAATTGAAATACAGAGAATAGCAGTATCATATATATCATATTATATGAAGAAATTAATCGAATATCTGAGGGATTGAGTAATACACAGTGATTTGTTATTCCAACGGACTAGTTTCCTATTGACAAAGCATTCCGTTGTTTAATTTTTAGTGTAAGGAAATTACATAATACATATCTTAGTGCCTTTCACTGACAGCAGAAATACTAAATTGAATTCTTTCCATAACAATAACAGCAGCTGTTATGGTTTATCCAAAGACATTTTACAAACAAATACCTGTACTACTACTACTATCATTAGAATGCTATGAATATATCTTTCAACGGATGTTAAACAACACCTTTTGGCTTGAAACTAATTCAAACAACCCAATTCTGTATAAATATGATTTTATTTTCTCTTTGTGTGGTGACAACAGCAATAAAGGTTTAAAATAAGTAGCCTGTCTTTTTTTAACAAATTGCTTAGGCTGGTACTTGGTGAAGACTCTTTTGGCAGGAAATGGGAGGCTGGCAAGGTAGCAAAGAAATCCTGCCTGAATTGTCTGGGCAAAATAGCCAACTTTGGCTGTCCCAGGCACACAAGAGTGGCACTGGTGCTACAGAAACCAACCATTTTGCAAAGTCATTTGACAACATGTACATTTTCTTTGTTTCTTTTCAAATTTATGTTGGTTCTTATAAATACTGCATGTTGTTGAAACATGTAAATAGTGATCAATGCTTCTGTCTCCTGGAAGGAATCAAAATGGAGGTTCTTGGTCTCCAGTGCTAACTTGGCTGCTTCAGACTGGAGCTGGCATCAGGCGCTAATGGTTTGCAGAGGCCGAGTGCTTGCATGGAGGAGCAGCTGTCATCTCCATGGTGATGTTGTTCAAGCCTGGGCTGGGATGTGTCCTGTGGTGCCACACTGGCGCATTGGGATCAATTACACAGACCCCAACACCCAGAGCGGTAATGTCTTGGCATGTGTCATCCGCAACCTTCCCATGTATTTTAACACCCTCTGTCTATTCACTTTACTTTTTCACATTAGGGTTAAGATTTAGTTAGGTTAGTATTAGAATAAGTTGGCATACTTGCAATGTAACATCAATTCAAGCTTATTTGTATAGCATTTTTCCACAACGATTATTCTTTCAAAGAATCTTTACAAAAGGTGCATTTAATTACATTAAAGACAAAATCAGAATACTGTTGTATACTGTTGTGTATAGGGTGGACAGAATACAGCATGTACAGAGTTAACCTATATACAGTTTCTTTTCAAAAAGGTGATATCTATGTGTATAAAACATTTGAATGGTTTAATGAAGGGATCCAAGATTAATTAAAATGAAAAATAAAATAACAATAAAATCATGAATTAAGAATATATTGAATCATATAACATAAAATCATGAAAAATACTCGCCACTATCACATCACAATCAATTATGCTTCTTAAGCCAAACGTGAGACAATGCAATATGCTCTTGCCTGTCCTGTTTGTTGCCAAACAATTTTTAAAAGAAACACTATAAGCACCAATCTCTGAAGAGAGCACTTCAAACCATAGGACACCCATACATTTCAAAAGCCTTATTTACAGGACGCATCACTGATGAGCAGACACTTTCTCTGTTTGCATGTGAAAGGCTGCTGATTACTGCAATCAGTAGTCGTCTCTTATCTCAAACTCCACTGACGCTACATATTTGAGGACTCTTTTCTGTCGTTAAATACTGCCAAATCAACCTAACAGCTAATAGAATGGTTGATTAAGAGTCCTCTCATTCTGATGGTATAATCAGGGAATTAAGAAGTAAAGTGGTGTAACCTTACAAAAAGGGAAACATAATTTTAGTTCAATTTACTGAATCCAGAATGCCTACTGCATTTCAGAAAGTATCAGGTTTTGTTTTCTTGAAATAATAATATAATAATAAAAAAAAAATTAGAAACAGATTTTTTACAGATTATATTAATTATATTAATTTTCATATATATATATATATATATATATAATTAAAAACACAAGGCATCTGTTCATGTCCAAGCATGTATATTTTAGGTATGTGCATTAGTAGTAATAAAGTTCTTTACATGTTAATGTAAATTTAGTTTAATGTAATTAGAGATAATACCACGATGAGCTTAACCATGTTAGTTTGTTCAAATATTGTGCATATCCGAAATTGCATTACAAAGGTTATTTTAAGTGTGCAAACAATAGTGTAT